ACAATCTAAACTCATCCTGGTTGACTAAACATTTGATTTTTTAAGATAAAGTGAGCATGTAAAGAAAAAAGCAGAGAATAAAGGGGAAGGAGTGTCTGTAAAGAACTCAAAAGTTAGTCCTCCTTCCAAATAGGGAATGGAATGTGAGCTACTACTGATAACGCCTGGTACTGTGGCATGCCTGGGCATCTAACAAAGGCAAAAAGGGAAAGAGGAGAAAAAGGAAAAAAGGTGGAGGGGTTACTATGAATTAGAGAATAAAAGATTGATCACATTATTTGAAGAGAAATCTCATCATATCCCACACATTCATCCACCCATCCATCCATCCATCCATGAATCCATCATTCATCCAACCCTCATCCATGTATCCTCCACCCACCCTTCATTCCATTCATCCTTCCATCCTTCCTTCCCTATTTCCATCCATCCATCCATGCCTCCCTCCATCCATCCATCCATTCGTCCATCCATTCTTCCACACATTCCATCTATCCATTTATTCACCAGATATTATTGAGGCAGGGGAATATAATAATTAACAAAATGCGGAAATCCCTTCTGTCATAGAGCTTACATTCTAGTGGGTAGAAACAGGGTAAGCAAGCAAACAGCAAATATATAAAATATAAAACACATGGATAAAGAAATGCTATGGAGAAGAAGAAAACACAGAAGGCCAAGAGGAAATATCAGAGGAGATGGGTTAATTTTAAATAGGATGACAAAGAAGGGCCTCTCTGAGAAGATGATAAATCAGCAAGGAAATTAAAAATACAAGTCAGAATTATTCTAATACCTGAGGGCACAGCATCTCGGGCAGTGAGAACAGCAAGGGCAAAACCCTGAGGCACAAGTACTTCTCCTGTGTAATTTTTTAGTAACGGTCAAGGTCCTCTTGGTCCCCACCAACTCTCCCTAACTTATCTAGGGGTTGACATTTTTGAACCAACAAAAGTGCTGGAAGGCAACACTCTAAGATTTTAAGGGTGCAAAACTTTCATGACGTTTCTGGCAAAACGCTGACAACAAATGAGGAAAAACAAATGAATTAGATAGAATTTAAAATTAAATGTAATCAAATTCCTCTGCATTGTACATTCAGAATACGTATTTTCAAAAATGGAAAGACTTGTTAAATGAGAATAATTTGAAATAAAAGTGTCTTTTTCATTTGGTTTTCCCAGTGGATGTATAAAATAACTAATTGAGGTAAATCTGTTATTTTTAAAATCCTTAATGCCTTTCTAGAATGTAAAAGTTCATTTCTTATTGTAGAAATTTTGAAAATTATATAAAAGTATAACAATAATAAACTTGTTGCCAAACATCATAGAAAAAAACTCTGTTACACAAATATTCATATCTTTCTAGATAGATTTGCCTTGTATTTCTAAGTTTTGTTGGTTTGATAGTGAAAAAGGCTTATTTTAATTTGCGTTTTTATTACTAGTCTGTACAATTTTTCATGTCATTGAATGGTCAATTTTTATGTACCAACTTTCTTTTGGGCATCTTAGATTTCTCTTATTGATATGAATAAGCTCTATTGATTATAAGAAAATTGCCTAATGGTTTTGTCCAGGTCTGTTTACTTCCTGTTGTTTGTTTGTTTTTGTTTTCAGATGGAATTTCACTCTGTCACCCAGGCAGGAGTGCAGTGGCGCAATCTCGGCTCCCTGCAGCCTCCGCCTCCTGGGTTCAAGCAATTCTCCTGCCTCAGCCTCCTGAGTGAGATTACAGGGGTGTGCCACCATGCCTAGATAAGTTTTGTAGTTTTATTAGAGACCGGGTTTTGCCATGATGGCCAGGCTGGTCTCCAACTCCTGACCTCAAATGAACCACCCTCTTCAACCTCCCAAAGTGCTGGGATTACAGGCGTGATCCACTGCCACTGGCATATTTTTGCATAATTGTCAGTTCAGAGTTTACATTGCTATAGTCATGAACGTTCATTAAAGCAAAAAACACACACACACAAAAAACAATAAAACACTTATTTTCAACAATCTTCACTCCTCAGGGTTCTTTCAAATTTTAGTGAAAACTATTTTCTACAGAAGCCTCTTTGGTCTGTACATTTTTAACTATAATGTACAGTTAAATCTCACAATAATCCAATAACTAGGGTCCAAATTTTGTTTAATAATATTTCATATAGCAACAGTCTCATTATGTTGCCCAGGCTAGTCTCAAATTCCTGGCCTCAAGTGATCCTCCTGCCTCAACCTCCCAAACTACTGGGATTACATGTGTGAACCACCAGTCCCAGCTGGGTCCAAATTTTTAATCATGTAAAATGCAGCATTGTTGCAAGGTTGTTGAAATGACTGGAGCAGCCCTGGACAGTCAGGCATTAAGGGGTCTGGCTGGGAGATCCAAATCCCTTTAGGTCCCAGTTATAGTTTGGCATCATCTGGCCGGCATTTGCCAGATCTCACTTCAATACAACAGGAGAAGTCTAGCCCTCTGGACTACCTGGGCCCAGCAGGACAGTCACAGTGATTCCACAATCTCCATGGTAGTTGCTACCCATCTTTCTAGCCCTCTCTTAGACAATGAATGGAGAGAATACTTGAAACATAAGAGCCTCACTCCTTGCCTCCCTACTTCCCACGACGAGCTCCCTTCCTTTTCCACACCGACCTTACCATCTTCCTCTCTGTGGTTACTCCCCTTCCTTTCTCTTCATAAGGCAAATTCCCTACATTATCATAAGAGTTATTTAACACACATCTGTAGTGTATACCTTAGATTCTCTCTCCATAATGGCAGATTTGGTTTAGTTGTTGAGGATGGTGGCTTTATTTTCAACCAACTGGGACAAAATAGTGAACAAATTTTAGGATGGATGCCTTGTATTTGTTACAGTTGTGACATTGAGGACCATGAGACCTGCAAGGTTCTCATTACTCGAGATATAAATACTGAAAATATAATCAGATCACTGGCTGGTGAGGTGGCGCATGCCTGTGATCCCATCACTTTGGAAGGCAGAGGCGGGAGGATCACTTGAGGCCAGGAGTTCAAGACCAGCCTGGGCAACATAGCAACATCACAAGATGATGTCTCTACAAAAATTAATTAGCAGGAGGTCGTGGCCTGTGCGTGTACTCCGAGCTACTCATGGCGCTGAGGCAGGAGAATCATTTGAGCCCAGGAATTGAAGATTGCAGTGAGCTATAATCGTGCCACTGCACTCCACTCCAGCCTGGGCAACAGAGCAAGACTTGTTCTCTACAAAGACAAAGACAAAGTTATTCCACAGAATAACTAAGAGGTGCTTTTTACAACACAGCATTTCTTCACATTAGCTTTTTAAATTTACCTCTGTTTGGTTAAATTCACGTGAAACAAACAAACAAAAAAGCCACATAAAAGAAACCCAATCATTTTCTCCTATAACTTAAGCTTTTTATCAAGCAAGTCATAATCACAGTCACATGAAGAAGAAAATTTTCACCAAATGCGCACTAAGGAGATATCACTGCACTCTGCATTGAAATTGCTTCCTGTGTATCAATTGTATACATTTTATATTCGTTTAAAAAGCACCCAGTCTATGACATTGGGTCATTGGGTATGCATGTGAACATATTTTCTAAACATACAAAAACATAGATGGGAAGTGTAGCAGGCAAAGGTCTGGCCAGGAGAAAAGAAACTGTGCTAAGATTTTTACACATTGGATGTTTGAGTCAAATAATTGGTTATAATAGGTGATTATTTATACGTGATGGAATAGCTGGGCTATCGAAAGGAGAAGATGAGGCAACTCGGTTTAGCAGCAGCAGGAAGAGATCCTCGCACATAAGGAAGAAAGACAAAGAAAGGGTGCTGCTCCCTCAACCCAGAAGCTTTGACTGGTAGGAGATAGAATCAAGGTGGAGGCTGCCTGGAAAAAGCTGGGCGCACAGAGGATTGTACCTTCTACTGGAGATGCCACTCAAGGTCAAGAGACAGGGAGAGAGGGAGAGAGAAATGCCTGGCTCTTCCCTTCTCCAGCCCTTCAAGCTCCTAACAGTACCTCTCACTGAGCAAACCCAGGGGAAGTTATAACATAGCAAGGAAGCCTGGGAATGTAGGTGTACCTCTCAGCCCCAGTCAGAGGGTGAGAGGACTCACCAATTTGGGATAGGCATTTGCCTCTGGAGCGAGAGTCAGGGGAATGGGGATCGGGACGTGCACAAAGTGATCCTCGACCATATTGGCAACCCCTAATTTCTTTACTTTTTTTTTAAAGGTTTGGAGACAATATGGCAAAATGTTAGCATTTGGTTTTGCTTTTTTGTTTTGGGACAGAGTCTCTCTCTGTCACCCAGGCTGGTGTGCAGTGGTGCAAGTCTGGCTCACTGCAAACTCCACCTCCCGGGTTCAAGCGACCCTCCCACTTCAGCTCTCTAGTAGCTGGGACTAAGGTGCACACCACTACACCCAGCTAACACTTGTTAACATTATAATGTGGGTGACCAGAGGCTCATTACTTTATTTTCTGTGCATTTCTATATAGTTGGAATATTTCATAAGAAGCGATTATTATAGGACAAACAGAAATGTTCCAGATTAATGGCAATAGTAAGCATCTTTATTGTATTTCCACCCTAGTTTCCAAGGAAATGCCACATCTCTCTCAGTGAACAGTAGCATCTTTGTCTAGTTTGCAGGCTGTGCCATTGACTCTTTGGCATGATGGTGTATTGAAGACAAGGTGGGAGAGCAAGACAGGGAATGGGTGGAGACAGGCAAGGAGGAAAGGTGGCAGGAAAAGACTCAGGAGGAAGAGGATGACCATCGATCGCTGTGAGCTCTCCCAGAGCCTGCCTGCCTTTGAAACTTGGTTCAGTCACTTACTACCGGGGTGGCCTTGACAAGTTCCTCCTCTCTCTCTCCTAAGATGTTAAGACTACCTACCTCAGAGAGGTCATTTTGAGGATTCAGTGACTTCCCCCACAGGAAAACACTTCACGTTGTGTGGGAACATAGTCCACTCTCAATCCATCTTGGTTACCATCATTATTGTTTATTATTGATCTTTACATCCTTAGTGTTGGCAGAGTTTCTTGTGCTTAACAAACATTTGTTCAGATCAGAGAAGTGGAAAAAATTGTCATTTGCTTATTCAAGCCATATTTTCCTGTGATATTCTGATCCTAGTTGCACATACAGAAATACATGTCTAAAACAGCACCTCGATTCTGGTCTACAGCAGGACGAAGTTCACTGTGATCTCAGATAAGCTTGGCTAAAATAGGACGTGAGTGGAGATAGTCACACTTCAGTGAAGAAAGAGAATTCCCTGTGTAATGTCACCAGGAGATTCAACCTCAATATTCTGCATCGAAGGGGTAGTCCTCCAAATGAGAGGATCTGCAGAAACAAACAAACAAACAAAAACAGAGAAACTGTTCCATCAAAGCAACAGCTCTGGTTGAGAAGGTATTCTTCTCTGGTGGACTCTATGGTATCTGTGCTTTCTCAGCCTCCTCCCTGCAAGAACACAAGAAGGGTGCTCACACCTTGACCTTCCCTCAAACCGATACGAGGGCTTTGCTAGGAAGGAGGACAGACAGTGACCAGGGTACAGGAAACAACTCGGAATGACAACTCATGGTAAGCCTGGTGTCAGGTGAGGCAACTGACAAGTCTTGTCCCAATCCACTGTCACAACATCATGAGGTAGGAAATACCAGCACAATTGACAGCTTGGGGATTGTTATGAGTATTAAATGAGATAATAGCACCGGCAAAGGGCTCAGGACCTTGGCACATTCTCAGCGAAGGTTCAATGGATGTTAGCTGCGATTAGTATTATCATCCTACTTTATAGGTAAAGAAACCAACTAGGTAAAACTTGGAAATTTACCCTATGTCACACAGCTAAGAAACCAGTGTTAGAGTTGGATCTGAGGCCGGGTGGACTTACTCCTGAGCTATCAACCCATTGCCTCCACTGGATATGATGTTCATTGGAAGGTCAGTGGTTCATTTTGGGGGATAGTCCCCTTTTATGTTCACCCTGCCTTTTTACACTAAGCAGCTGCTACTTTGTTAAGCACTGATAAAAATAAGCCATTATAAGATGAGGAAAGGCTGCTGTGATACTAAGGGTGGGCAGAATAGATATGAATATCATGACAAGCAAGCTACGCTTGAGATACTGAAACCATTTTTAAAAGCTGAAAAATCATTTTGGCTATAGAAACATTGGAAGAAATTCAAATTGGCATTGAATTGCAGACCTCGCAGTAATAAATGCCAGACAACTCTCTTTGATATATTTAATTAGATACATTAATCAGAAAGTATTGATTGTAAAGAGATGATTGAGGATTCCCACCTAGCCAGAGTGAAAACTTTCTTTCAACCACTTATCTGACATTTAAAGTAGAGTTACCACCACCTCCTTTAAGAGGCATTTGGAGATTATTTAATCCAGCCTCCCCGGCCTTCTTCCTTGAATGTTCTAAACACAATCCCACCTCAGGGCCTTGGAACCTGCTGTTATCAATGCCAAGAATGCTCTTCCCCCAAATATGTATATGGTATGTCCCTCACAGCAAAGCCTCCCTTGACCCACCCTGTATAAAGGATCTGTCCCACTACCACCCACCACTTCCTATCCACTTTGCCCTACTTTATTTTTCTGTCTAGCATTTGTTACTGTGTGACACACAAATTTTGAGTTGATTTATTTCTGTTCTGTCTTCTTCCCTCCCTCCATAAGCACGTGGAGGCAGCAGCTTTGTACAGTATGATAACCCAAGCATCTAGAAAATGCCTGGCACATAGAGGACCACTAGATATTTATAGAATGCAGGAATAAATGAATGCTCTGCCTCCTACCTATTGACAACACACCTTCTGTTACAATTCTAGCTCTACATCCAGAAGTTCAGACAATGAGCAGCAATTAGAGATGTGTCCCTCGCAGTGATTCCCGGGTACCCCAATTTTAACGTTCAAAACCGCCCCAAAATTGTATTTGAAGACACAAGTAGTCCCAGCAGTCTTCTAATTCTTCCAACTAACCCTCTACCAGTTTAGAAAAACTCCTGGCAATGCTCCTAGTTAACTCCATGCCACTTACTGCAACATCTTGCAGGCCCTCCAGTTTCTGTTGAAGCTGAGTATCGTTGCCATCTCCTCATCACTCAATTTAAAGTCAAAGACCTGGAAAGATAGGAGTTCCGTACATCATCAGTAGGGTCGTTACTGCTGTGACTGGAGACTACCAGCAATTCTAGCAGGGAGTTCTAGCAGCACAAACTGGTCAGTGGTGTTTTTCCATTATGTCCACGGGATACAAATTTTTCTCTAAATTAGGTCCTACACAAAGACTGCAGTATTTCTAGTGCTCAGTGTTCCGGGGGAGGGAGACCAGGCTCACAGGTACTAAGCCCCAGGTGTGCACAGGCCCTGTATTCCATGATGCACCCTTCTAGAAGACAGTTCTCCAAGGACAGTTCACACCTCCTTTGCTGCCGGAAGATGAGCAGGGAGGCCAGGACAGTCTGCTCATGTGGTGGCCCTGGGTTTAGCTGCTCAGGGGCAACTGAGGGTCTTCTCAGTGGTGTGAGGCACAGCTGTGCTCAGACCTGACAGGGCTTCAGCAGGCACTGTCCCCAGCATGTCCTAAGCCCATGGATCATTCATCTCAGGTATACTGAGCCTAGATCCCTGGGCTGGAAAATGATAGGGTGGTAGGAACAGAGGCGACCAAAGACAGGGCAGGGATGAGGTGAGAAGCCTAATGACAGGGTCTGTCTCTGCCCCACTTCCCTGAGGAATACCAGGGCTAACCAGCCGGGATCTTACCTGAATGTTCTCAACAATGCATGCCGGTGTCACAGACTTGGGGATCACAATCACATTCCTCTGGATATGGAAATGGATCAGAACCTGTGTGGAAAGGGGACATCAAGTTTCCACTCAGCTACAAGGACCCCTCCTTTTATGGAAAGGAAGAATAAAACATTTTCGCAGCTCACTGTGGCTTCAGGTACAATCGCTGATACTGACTGAACCCTTCACAGCTATTAGACTTGTGCCAGCTCCTTGCTTCATTCTCTCCCTTCATCTTAGGGACAACCCTGTGATCTTCATTTTTTAGGAATAAAGAAAGCAGTTTGGGTCATAAGGCTGATCAGAGGTAGAGTTGGCGTCTGCACCCATATCCCTAGACTTCAAAGCCATGCTTTACGACTTGGCTGTAGGGCTTAAGAGGAAGCTGTGAGGCAGAAGCTATCTTTGTTTCAGTGACAGCTCTTGTGTTTCTTGAGGTTCCAACAGACTTCGAAGGAAACACTTTAGAGGGCTTCAGCTCCTGTGTTCTTCCCCTTTAAGGAGTTAGTTGAGGACAACACAAGAAATGAAACATGAGACTGGAAGAAATAGTTGCTGGATAACAAGAAAAATATAAATATGATACCTGGGCTGCGGTTTTCTTGTGCTTGCAGCAATCTCCTTATCTTGGCTCCTCCAGCAGGGAAGGGTCCTCTGGCTTGGCCTAGAGGCAGAAAGATGCTGATGTGAACAATCACCATGCTACCATGTACAGACGGACACCACTCCAATGAGGGTCTCAAGACCGATCATAAGAGCCTCTCCATCTGGGAGACAGGCAGGAGGACCTGGAAGCTTGGTTCCTTCCCCAAGGCTCTGAAGTCTCAGCATTTTGCAAAGCCTGGTTCATGCTTGGGTGGCTGAACTGGAAATATTCCAGAGGGTCAAAACATCGCCATGTTTTGTGTTGCTGCTGTTGTGCTTTTAATTCCCATTGATCCCACTGTCATCCCATTTGGTTGTACCAATGCATTACCTTACACACGTTTTTCTTTCCAGTGACTTATGGTCTCATACCAATATTTACCAAACATAAAATAACGTTTTAAAGATTATCAAGAGAAGGATCTACTGCTTGGAAGCCTCACCAAGGTCTATCCGGAGAGCCCAGGGGGCTGTAGGCTGTAACGGTGATGCCCTTGGAGTGGCAGTACTGGATCAGTTTCTCCTGTGTGAGGTACGGGTGACACTCAACCTGCAACAGCAGACAATTTGCATCACTGGGAAAGCTGGCTGGCTTTTTGAGTTGTTCATAGGGAGTTCTACACACACACACACACACAAAGAGACCACCAAACAAAGACCAAACACCTACCCACTGAGATTCTTGCTAACACACCCATGAGATCAGCCTCACACCTCCCATAAGTGTCCTGATCACTGACCCCTGAGATGACACTCGGGGCATAGATAGCATTGAACATTCCTCCCAATGTTTAAGAAGTAATAGGGCAAGACCTTTATTTAGCCTTATACTAAACAGAATTTACCTGGTTAGTCACTGGTTTATATTTCCGTCCAGGTTTGTTCAAGAGCCTCTCGATCTGGAAGTGGTTGAAATTGGAGATGCCAAGGGCTTTCACCAGCCCCTCATCCACCAGCTCCTCCATGGCCTGTCATAGAAAGGAAAACCTTTTGGGCAGCCCCAGAGGGACTACAGGGACCCTGGCTTGCCTTAGTCCTCCCTGGGGCAGAAATTGCTAAAGGATCCAGCACAACAGGGTTAGCTGAAGCATTCACAGGAAGTTTCAGTCCAGGGCCTGGGTGCCCAACAGTGATGGTTCCAGCCCTACTGCCCCTCCCCAGCCCAAGAAAAACTAGGAGTAACAGGTAAAGATTTTATATTCTTGCCACTCTCACCTTACATGTAAAGAAACACATTCAAAATTATACTGCTCTATACAGGGGAAATATGATGTTTTGTAATGCAAAAAATAAAAAATAAAAAATGAACATTTGCAAGCTTATGAGATGATTGTATTTTTAATGAATCTAAATGACAGCAGGTAGCTACGGCTGTGTGTGAATTGTACATCCAAACCTTGGCAAGCTGTGTTAGGAAGAGGCTGCAGCATGTGGAGAAGCCTCACTTGTGGGTCCTGAGTCACTTTCTCCCACACCAACCATGCTCGGGTTTGCAGGAAGGTCATGCATATAGATTATGCCCTGGCAGGGGCACCTGGGCAAGGAGTTGTGTGGGGCTGAAACCTGACCCACCGTCTGCATATCCAGCCATGCTTCCCGGTACAGAAACTACCACCAAGGAAGGGAATCTTTGTTTAACTTTTAGCCTATATTGGGCATTTTCCAAACTTGCCCAAAGATATCATATATGTTAGCAGCAGTCTCCAATGCAACATGTATTTATTAGCCATCTATTACATGTTCCAGAAGTTGTCAGGATGTAAAAGTATACAATGTGCTTCCTTCTTCTGGGATTCTTACAGTCCAATTAAAGTGCCAGGGTTCCCTTCTATGGAGCCATCAACCATGACCCTGAGGCTGCCTCAGGTAACATGACCGTGGCATAGACAGAGTCAGAAAGGAAAGAGAAGGAAGAGATTCACACAGCCTGCAGCTGTCAGGGCAGACCTCCAGGTAGAGTTTAAACTGCGTCTCAGAAAAAAAAAGAGAGAGAGAAAAGAGGGGAAAATCATGGGCCTGGGTTTCAGCAAACTAGGGTAAGTTTTTAACTCTTGTAGGCCTTAGTATTCTCTTCTTAAAAGAAGTCTTATAATACATGCTAATAATATATATCTTTCTGATGCACATTATCAGAGGCTGAGACAGGAGGATTGCTTGAGGCCTGGTGTTCGAGACCATCCTGGGCAACATAGCAAGACTCTGTCTGTACCAGAAAAATTTTTTTCAATTAGCTGGATGTGGTGGCATGTGCCTCTGATCCCAGCTACCTGGGAAGATTGCTTGAGCGCAGGAGTCCGAGGCTGCACTGACCTGTGATCTTGCCATTGTACTGCAGCCTGTGCAACAGAACAAGACTCTCTGAATTTAAAAAAAAAAAAAAAAAGTAATATCGGTGGCTGGGTTTCACCCCCGAGAGTTTCTTACAGATTTTGTCTGAGTTATAGCCTAGACATTGGGATTTTTAAACACCTCAGGTGATTCTAATGAACAGCCACATTGAGAACCACAAGTGTAGATGAAGTATTTCAAATTGGGCAGTAGAGTTTAGATGCTATGAAAACATAAGGTTCCCAACACTTCTGATGGGGCAATTAGATAATATAAAAGCTATTGTACATCATAGGTCAGGTTAGTTTGCCTGTCTTCGAACTTGACTTCTTTATACTTTTTCCTCCCCTCTGCTGGTGGTGATCAATGAGGTTTCTACTGAACTGGCTGTGGGTCTACAGAAACATCCAGCGCTTTCATATTCAAGTCTGCTCGTTTCAAATCAGAGCCTCTGACCTTGATCACTGATATCTTTTCATGCCTTTCAAATGTTGTATTTAGCAGTCATCCTTGTACTCATTCAGAAAACAGCACGGTGAGACGCAGGCTACACTGACACACGAGCCATATTAACATCATCGTAGGAGCTAAGGCAAACTGATAAAATGTATTGCAAATGGCCAGGTGCAGTGGCTCACGCCAGTAATCCGAGCACTCAGGGAAGCCGAGATGGGTGGATCCCCTGAGGTCAGGAGTTTGAGACCAGTCTGGCTAACATGGTGAAACCCTGTCTCTACTAAAAATACAAAAGTTAGCCGAGCGTGGTGGTATGCACGTGCAGTCCCAGCTACTCAGGAGGCTAAGGCAGGAGAATGGCTTTAACTCGATAGAGGAATGTTGCAGTGAGCCAAGATGAAGCCACTGCACTCCAGCCTGGGCGACAAAGTGAGACTCTGTCTTTAAAAAAGAACGCTGTGCTTGTGGATTAATGTTTTTGAAGAAACAATACACAGAAAAAGCTACGTTTAGTTGAATCATGTCAATTCTAAGCATTTCAGAAGGGTGAGGCTTAATATATTTTCCCTTGTAAAACACAATACAAACTCGCAACTACATGTACCCCTACACAGACAGCTGCCACTATGACACCATTAACTCTTGGAGTCATATGCCAGTGTTCATTTATAACTTACTCCTCCACTTCGTTCTCTACTAGCATTTGCAAAAGGATATAATAGTATAATAAAAAATGATCAGAGAAAACACTGATCCCTTAATTAACTTTGAATGTGAATGATGTGAAACAGGTCATGATGTGATCTGGGAAGCAGGGCACTCAGGCTCCCTAATTTCCGGATGTGTGTTCACTGCATGCCAAGCGCCATGCTGATGGCTTTGGTGGTTGGACTTGTGATTCAGATGAGTCTGGGTCCAATCCCAGCTCTGCCACACACATTGTGACATGACCTGCGTAAGTCACCAATCAATCTAGGCTTCAAATGTCATTATTTATAAAGGTGGATGTTAACCCTGCCTTATAGGTTTAGATGATTACATGGTGGCTATGACTAATGTTCCTGGCATGTAAACCATCTTAATCTTTATTGCACCCTCAAAAATACATAGTAGTAGTATGTGTTATAAGACTTCTTTTTAAGAAGAGAAAACTGAGCCCTACAAGAGTTACAAAACTGATCCTAGGTTACTCAGCTGCTATGAGAAAACCCAGGCCCAAACCTCCTGTTCCAAATGGCTCGCCCTGGTTTGAGAACAGCATGTATATTCACCAAAGTTGGGTACATTATATTTCCAGTCTTATTTGAAGACTCAGTATTAGCCTTGAAATATAAATAGTATCAGATGCACCCAAAAGCCAAAGGTGATGAGGAAGATATTAGAAGAGCTAGAGAATCACAATGATGAAATTAGAAAGCATCAGGCACATGGCCTCTTTCATATGAACGGGAAGTCTCATGGATAACTGAAGATTTCTCTCCCAGCACACTTAGAGGAAGCTGGAACCTACCTCCCAGGCATCCAAGAACATTGCTTTTCCACCGATGATATTACCTTTATCATCTTTGGGGTAAAAGTCATCCCCAGACTGTAAATACAGAATGAAAAGTTTACTGGAATCTGCATCATGATACTTGGTTCTGTTAAACAAGGTTTCAGGGTCCTGACTCTTGCTAAATACCACATGTGCATACCAGGTTTTCAGACTCTGTAGTACATACTACAAGAATGTGAGTTTAAACAAAATCTCTATATCTACTGTAGCATATTAATCCATATATTTTAGAAACCACTGGATTGATGTTCAAATCTGCTGTTAGTACATTCCAGAAGCCACCTTTATCACCATGGACATTCACCTCATACACCTAGATCCTGTGTACACCCAAGGGCAAACTTTCATTTCAGTATCACTGGATAAGGATTAGATCTCCAGGGTGTGGTTTTCTGGGGAAGATATTGGCCAGCTTCTATCCTTGCAGCCTCTAGAAGAGACATGGAATAAGGGATGGCAGGCCATCAGCACTCCCGCTGGTCAGGAGGGGAGAGAGCTGGAAATTTGTCTCTCCCACCCCTCAGGAGCAGGTAGAGCAGAGCCCCAGGCAATGGGAGCCGCGATGACTACTGGCTTCCTTCCAGCATCACCGCACTTGGGCTTTTTTCCAAGATGCCACTCCCGGGGTGTGCTTTGCTTAAGAAGGTAATTAGGCCCTGGAATATAGTTATGCATGTCTAATCCAAGGGATTTCCTGGGAGGGCAACTCTGGGGCGCAAAATCAAGACAAAGGTGATAGGGCAGTTGCAACTTGTCTGGGCTGCCAGAAATCATGGCTTCTCTCAGACATACTGCAAGAAAACGCAGGCATGTGGCCACCTCAGCAGCACACATGGCCTCAGCCTCCCTTCCACGCTAGCGTCTTTCTGCTCCAAGGTCTCTTCCTGACCACCTGACACTCCCAATTATGAACTACAAGGTCTCCTGCTCCAGTCCACACCACCCCTAGCCCTGGTGCAGCTACTATTTTCTGGCAGCTACTCAGAAACTAGAGGCTGAGAAAGGGAGTCGCTCAAACCTTGAATCCCTGTGGCCAGTGAATAAGATAGACGTCCAGATAGCTCAGCTTCAGGTCCTTGAGGGTCTTCTCAAAGGCTTTCCTCACAAGCCGTCTCTCAAAAAACGTGGGCCACAACTGCAAGAGTGTAGCAATAGGCTGTGAATATTTGGAGAAGGAAGGGCCATGTTATACCCATTGTCCCTGCCTTTTGATTTGCACCCTGAGCTAACCTGGCACAGGCCATTTATAACAAAGCTGATTAAGATCCACGACACCGTGTGGAAGATCACCAGGGCTCAGCACGTCAATGGCATGTCTTAAGTGTTAAAACCAATTTACTTTTTCAACTCTCCTAGTACTCTATATGTCTCTCAGATCATTTAATAAATGTGGCCACACATTTGAAATCTGTTTACCTGTCTCAGTCTCTTCCTCAACTGTGGGCTCTCTGAAAGGAGGACTTGTGTGTAACTTTTAAATGTCAAGAATTCTTAGGCCTTCAGGAAAAGATGGTCCTTTATCTGACCTATATGATAGGTCCCTTACGAAGCCTGTCAGGCCCCAAGTGATAACTTTATAAGGGCTTTATCCACACTTGGCTGCTACACAGTGGGGTCTATTTGTCCCACCAGATATATGCAATTTCCACGTACCTAGAACTAGTGTTTTTTCAGCAAGTTGTGTATAATGTAAATCCAGTGATTCTAAACCCCCTCACACCCAACACCCTCTTCTTTTTTATAACATTGTGTACCTCACCTTTTACTAGATCAAATAAAGAAAATCATATGTGGCAATAGAAAAATGCTCCTACTGTTTTCCAAAATGCCCCCGACTGAGAACTTTAGGGACACAGTGGCGGAGACCACAGTGCTGACAGGGAGACCACACATCAAGCCATGCCTGCACCCTTGGCCTCTGACTGCCTCTGGGCAGATGGTGGATCCCTCTGATGGGGAACAGGGAGGCCCAGGGCAGTGCAGGGCTCCATGGAGACAAGCCCACTGTGAGAAAACCAACACGCAGGTAGGTGGCGCAGCAACGACATGTTCAATTATCAATTGCGGCTTGGAGTATGGATAGAATTGTATCCACGGATGTTATCAAGGCAGGGATGAAAAGGGCTACATGTAGAAAAGGCTGACAGAGTTCTCGCTGCCAACCCGACCCAGATACTTCTGCCTGCCTTGAAGTGAAGGCCTCGCACCCAATGCGTCATGTGCACCTTGCTGACGATGAACAGGTCCTCCCGCTTCACAGCCTGCTCTTGGATCTTCTCTTGGATGGCTTCCCCCACCTCATGTTCATTCTGATAGACATAGGCACAGTCAATGTGGCGATACCCTGCATCAATGGCCACCTTCACCGCTTCTTTCACTTTGCCGAGAGGAGACTGAAAGGCAAAAGAAAAGCCCATCACACATGTATTTTTTTTTTTCCTTAAGAGAAGGGACCTTGCCATGTTGCCCAGGCTGGCCTCACATTCCCAGGTTCAAACAATCCACCCAACTCCCGAGTAGCTGGAATTACACCACATTCAGCAACCAACATAGTCTCTTATCCCCAGACCACCTTCAACAGGCTGCCCCACATGGCCCAGTTTCTCCAAACCAAGGCCTCACTGGGGTCTCCTGGGCCAGGGAATATCTGGCAAAATTTAGAAAAGTTTTCAAAAGAAGAGAAGGAAAGTGAATTAATTTGGGATTACAGGCATGAGCCACCACACCCGGCCAGTTCTGCATTTCTAACAAGTTCCCAGGTCATATGGATTCTGCTAACCCAAGTCCCACACCCTGATCTACAAAGGGGTGCCAAGGACTTGGGGCTCTGCATCCTCTCCACAACCGCCCGGCCCACAACAAACCCACAGCCAAGTGGGGAAATGTTGAGCCCAATTAAGTGTCCTAGAGCCAGAGAGAGAAACTGCCCCGGAAAACAATTTTAGGTCCAACAGCTGCTTGAAATTTGATACTTGCTAGAGAAGCTCTCAGCACTGCTGGGAAAGCCAGCCTTGGAGCTTTGCAGCCTGAATCAGCTCTGAGAAAAGAAAGCAACTGGAGTCCCGGCTCCAGGACTGAATCTCACCTCTCCAAACCCCTGCCCGACCTCCAGGCTTTCCTGGCTGAATGCAGAAAGAGAAAACACCCAAACGCCCCTCCAGAGAAGAAGGCTACGCAAAGATTTGCATATTTACCTGCCATGTGCCCAGGCCCACAATGGGCATCTTGGCTTTGGTACTGAGCTCCACAAAGGTGGTCATGGTTGGCGCAGAAATGATTCTGAGTGAGCAGGTAGAAGTCTGACGTCCTGCTGTGTCCAGAGTTGGTTGCTTCTGGTGGGTTCTTGGTCTCGCTGACTTCAAGAATGAAGCCACAGACCTTCGCAGTGATTGTTACAGCTCTTAACGATGGTGTGTACAGAGTTTGTTCCTTCAGATGTGTCTGGAGTTTCTCCCTTCTGGTGGGTTCGTGGTGTCTCTGACTTCAAGAATGAAGCCACAGAGTTTCGTGGCGAGTGTTACAGCTGTTAAAGGTGGTGCAGATCCAAACAGTCAGCAGCAGCAAGATTTATTAGGAAGAGGGAATGAACAAAGCTTCCACAGCTGGAAGGGAACCCGAGCAGGTTGTTTATTCCATTATTTATCCCCGCCCATGCGTTGCAGATCGGTCCATTTTGCAGAGCACTGATTGGTCCATTTTGCAGAGCACTGATTGGTGCATTTTACAGAGTGGTGTTTGGTGCATTTACAGTCCTTTAGGTAGACACAGCGCTGATTCGTACATTTTTACAGAGTGCTGATTGATGCATTTACAATCCTTTAACTAGACAGAAAAGTTCTCCAAGTCCCCAGTCGCCCCAGGAAGTCCAGCTGGCTTCACCTCTCAATCCTCCCTCTAAACAGGACATCCTAACTGCTGTTGGGAATTGGGCGATGTCCACTCTAGACACTTCTTGCTGGATACGGATGAACAAGAGGCCTTGCAGTTGTAGTGTCCTTCAGAGGGGGAACTCTTTAGGCCAGTCAAAGGGCCAGCAGGTCGGTCCAAGGGTCCTCGGTACAAGTTGTTAGTCGAGTACACTTGGGGTTCCATTTGTAAGACCATCTGTAGCTTGATGGTGTCAATCCTAGAGGAAACAAATTTACAAGGAGGTTAAAAATACAGGGCCCAAAGGTGAGTAATAGCAAGATGGCTGTCACGGGCCTAGAAAGGGGAGAAGCCATGTTGCCCAACTCCAGAGGTTGGCATAAGAGTTAGAAAGGCACTGTCTGATTTCAGAAGCCTTTTCCTGTAAACGTCGGGTGGCATCTCGTACTATCCCTGACTGGTTAGTGAAAAAACAATACTCTCCCCCTAAAAAGGTGCAGAGCCCTCCTTTCTCAGCAGTGAGGAGGTCAAGGTCTCGGCGGTTTTGGAGAGTCACTACTGCCAAATAGTCTATTTGGGATTGTAGAGTAAGGATAGATTTCATTATTTCTTGCAAACTGTCTGAGAAATCCTTTGAGAGTGTGTGATAGTAGGATAATGAAGTAGATAAACTGGCTATTCCAGTTCCTGTAGCAGTAGCTGTTCCTAACCCTGTAAGTAGGGGTAGTAGTTATATGGCTCTGCACTGATGGACTTGAGTTTTGAGGGGCACTGATAGGGTCTGATTTCCTGGGGCAATGTTAATGTTGGGACTTAGGAAGACTAAGGTGCAGGTGCCTGTCCACTTAGTGGGGAGGCAGATATAGGTTGACGTTACACAGAAGAAGAGTATGCCTTGCTGTATAGTCAGAACAGGGTATGTATATTAAAAAGGTGTGTGAGTTTGTTGTTTTCATTTTCCCATACTCCTAGAGGACTTGCCAAGGTAAATACAGTGAGTGTCCGGAAAGGGGTGTTGGGAGCAAACTGAATGGCTCTCTGTGTTCTATTTTCCCATTGGAGAAAAAAACAGTTTGTATCTACTAGGAACCATTCAAGAGAGTGCTTGAAAGATGGCATGAGATGGGATGAAAGATTGGTGCGTTTTTGCAGAGTGCTGATTAGTGCATTTACTATCTGCTAGCTAGGGAGAAATGTTCTCCAAGTCCCCACTCGACTCAGGAAGTCCAGCTGGCTTCACCATTCACTGCTTTTTGTTTGTTTGTTTTTGAGACGGAGTCTTGCTCTGACTCCCAGGCTGGAGTGCAGTGGTGTGATCTCGGGTCACTGCTACCTCCATCTCCCGGGTTCAAGCAACTCTCCTCCCGAATAGCTGGGATTATAGGTGCCCACCATCACTCCAGTCTAACTTTTGTATTTTTAGTAGAGACAGACTGGTCTCAAACTCCTGACCTCCCGCCCACCTCGGCCTTCCGAAGTGCTGGGATTACAGGCATGAGCTTCTGTGCGTGGCCACATCCTGCTTAAGAAGGCTGGTGCTACCTGCTGTAGGAAGAGCTGGAGCCTGGCCACAGTAGCTTCCCTGCCCTATCCAAACAAGAAATCCCTTCCAGGCTTTTGTGAGATTGACGATTGTGTGAATGAATTATTACACATGGCAACCTTGTGTAAAGTTCTCTTACATAAGAGTATCATCGGCATTTTTGTTTGTTCATGATGAGTCAAGAAATTCAAAACAGCCCAAAGTTGGAAAGTAGTGAGGGAGAGAGAGGGGAAGGAAAGAAGAGTAGGGGGAGGGAGGGAAGGAATGAGGGAAGAGTACAGAAGAGAGAAAAGAGAAAGAAAACGAAAGAGAGTAAAGGTAGGGAGGAAGGCAGGAGGGCAGGAAGGCAGAATGGCAGGCAGGCAGGCAGGAAGGAGAAAGAAAGAAAAGAAAGAAGAGAAAGAAAGAAAGAAAAGAAAGAGAGAGAAAGAAAGAAAGAAAGAAAGAAAGAAAGAAAGAAAGAAAGAAAGAAAGAAAAGAAAGAAAGAAAGAAAGAAAGAAAGAAAGAAAGAAAGAAAGAAAGAAAGAAAGAAAGAAAGAGAAAGAAAGAAAGAGAGGTAAAGAAAGAAAAATGAAAGGGTAAGAAAGAAGCCTGGCCAACATGATGAAACCCCATCTCTACTAAAAATACAAAAATTAGCTGGTCATGGTGGTGAGAGGTGAAGCCAACTGGACTTCTGGGTTGCATAGGGACTTGGAGATCTTTTCTGTCTTACAAGAGGATTGTAAAATGCACCAATCAGCACTCTGTAGCTAGGATGGTAAAATGCACCAATCAGTGCTCTGTGGCTAGTAGAGGTTTATAAAATGGACCAATCAGCACTCTGTAAAATGGACCAATCAGTGCTCTGTAAAATGGACCAATCAGCATTCCTTAAAATGGACCAATCAGCACTCTGTAAAATGGACCAATCAGCAGGAAGTGGTCAGGGAAAAATAAGGGAATTAAAGCTGGCCATCCCAGCCTGCAGAGGCAACCCACTTGGGTACCCTTACATGCTGTGGAAACGTTGTTCTTTTACTCTTCAAAATAAATCTTGCTGCTGCTGACTCTTTGGGTCTGTGCCATCTTTAAGAGCTGTAACACTCACTGCGAAGATGTGTGCTCCATTCTTGAAGTTAGTGAGATCAGGAACCTACCGGAAGGGACCAACTCCAGACACAGTGGCCATGTCTGTAATCCCAACTACTTGGGATGCTGAGACAGGAGAATCGCTTGAACCTGGGAGGTGGAGGTTGCAGTGAGCAGAGATCATGCCACTGCACTCCAGCCTGGACAACAGAGTGAGACCCTGTCTGAAAAAGAAAGAAGGGGAGAAAGAAAGAAAGAGACTAAGCAAAGCAAAGAAGGAAAAAAAAACAAGGATTTTCTTTCCCTGTGATGGTTTCCTCTGTGAAATGGAGTCTAGGGAGGAGAGGTAAGAAGCAGTGTTTCCATTTTAGAAGTGGCAATTCCAGGTTCAATGCAGAGATGGTCAAATCCTGGGCTGATTAGAGTCAGCTGTAACTAGTTGGTAGTCAGCAATCTAGGGAACATGATACAGGCCTGTGCCATGCTGTGACATACCATGACAGGCCAGGGCCACGTCACAGCATCAGCTTCGGCTTGAGGGTAGTGGGTTTTTCTGTTTTTTTCGCATTCTTGTTTATGAGGTGGGTTTGCTTGAAAATTGAAATGGACTTGAATCTCTGGGCTGTGGTTTATGACAGCTCTTAGAGGTCAATTGGCATGATATTTTGTACCTATGAGTGAAATATCTTAAATTTCATTGATGTTTGTTAAATTATCTACTTCGACATTAATAATACATGCATGGGCCGGGCATGGTGGCTCACGCCTGTAATCCCAGCACTATGGGAGGCCGAGGAAGGTGGATCACTTGAGCTCAGGAGTTGGAGACCAGCCTGACCAACATGGTGAAATCCTGTCTCTGCTAAAAATCCAAAAATTAGCCGGGCATGGTGGCACATAGCTGTAGTCCCAGCTGCTTGGGAGGCCTGAGAATCACTTGAATCTGGGAGGGAGAGATTGCAGTGAGCCAAGATTGTGCCATGCACTCCAGGCTGGGCGACAGAGAGAGACTCTGTCTCAAAAACAGATACATAAATACACGCATGCCTCATCATCTGGTGGCCACAAAGTCTCCTGGATCTGCACATGGGGCACCTTATTTTCCCAGTGGATACTGGATGACATGCAGGGTTAGTATTGTTGAAATAGTAAATCCTTAGTGACCGTCAAGCTAAATAACAGAGAGAGGGTCCCTAAAAGAAAAATATTTCTCTGGGAGTAGAGCACTGCAATGGGAATACGCATGCCAGAGGAAAGTATGTGTATATTTGGGGAAATAAAGCGAGACAAAAATTTTTCAGGGAAAAAATGAGGATTATCTAATTGCTTTGAAATAATTAGCCTTGGCTACAAAGATCAATCATGAGAGTGTTAGTCTGAGCTTGGACAGGCAGTTAGCTGTTCACAGGTCCTTGCAGAGTATGTTTTTTATTCAGTTGCAATGGCCTTTGTTCAACTTTGTGGTTTTTGCAGTCTTTCGTGGTAATTTTGGTTTTCAGTCGTACAACCATTAGAACCCTCCTTTCATGGCCTTCTGAGCTGTATTTGTTTTTTGTTTTTTGTTTGTTTTTTAACATTAGTGACTCCATTTTGATTCTGACCATTTTTACGTGACGCACAGAAAAAAGAAATGTGTATTATTCATGATAATATTCCTTCGAGAACCACTTAACTATGAATCGGTGAGGAGGAAGATCTTTTTTAGATAATTGAGATTAAGAAGGTATATCGATTAGCTGTTTTCATGTAACAAACCAACTGGTTATAACAGCAACCATTTATTTGCTAGTGATTTTGTGGGCTGGCAGTTTGGTCAGGAAGCAGCTGATAAGCTGGTATCAAAACCACGTGGTGTCAGCTGGGTTTCCTCACCTCTGTGGGCTTCACTGGGGTGGAATGGGATGTCAGGGAAGGCAGGAACCCCTCTTCACATGTTTTTCATTTTCCATGAGGCTAACCTGGACTTGTTCATAGGTAGCAGCATCATAGGGGGCCTACTCTCGGAATGTGTGCACAGTCACCTGTCACCTTCTATTGATCAAAGCAAGTCTCAAGGCCAGAAAAGGGCCAGGGAGTAAGGAAATTGATTCCACCTCTTGAGGGAATTGGTTACAGGGAATTTTGGCTAATTTTTTTTTTTTTTTTTTTTTTTTGAGACGGAGTCTCGCTCTGTCACCCAGGCTGGAGTGCAGTTGCACAATCTCGGCGCACTACAACATCTGCCTCCTAGGTTCAAGGGATTCTCCTGCCTCAGTCTCCCGAGTAGCTAGGACTACGGGTGCACACCACCACACTCAGCTAATTATTGTATTTTTATTAGAGACGGGGTATCACCGTGTTGGCCAGGATGGTCTCAATCT